ACATATAATAAGCCGTTGACTGAAAGATTGCTGTCTCTTTACCATAAGGATTACACGGATTTGTTGACTGTTGATCTGTTCAGCGTTTATCTTCCGTCGCGTGTTGACATTGAAATTCGTTATATCGAGGTAGATTTTACGTTTGGGCTCCCGGATTATGTTCGTTATATCGAGGTTCGTTATATCGAGGTTCTATTCCATACATTTTACTGTAACTTTGGCCGGGACATAGAATATCGTTCGTTATATCGAGGACTTCGTTAAATAGAGGTTCGTTAAATCGAGGTTCCACTGTTACTTGTTGTGGAAGGCTAACGGGTCAAAATACATGTAGCTTTGCAGAAATCATACACACTTCGAATCTATACGGCGAACACGTGACTTCCCACGAGGTTGACGTGAGTGTGCGCATTTGCTCATGATGTAATTTGTCCCTGCTGCGGGGAACCAAATCGGCGAACAAATTCTCGAAAGTCCTTGTCCCCGCGCCATGTGCGAAAATAAGTATAACATAAAATCAATCAAAACATCTTACTCTGTAACTCTGAGTACATTGCTGGCCCATTTCTTTGTCATAATAAATGCTTATTTTTCATCCTCAATCGGCATGATATTTGTGCAGTTATCGCGAACCGTAAAATTACGCCATTCTACATTCGATTATATCCTGATCAGTTAGACCCTCTTGTCAAATTAAATGTAGGTTAGTGCAATGTTCGCTTTTTCTCTTCACTCGCGTTTCTTGGTTGGAATTTTATTGTGTATAGAGTAGTATAAGTCGAAAATAAAAAACCGAAACTGTCTTCCGAAAGTGTCAGTCACGCATTTTCTTTCATTCGTTTACATGGAAAATTCACCCGAATTTCTGAATGACAAACGCAATTGTTTTGCACGTGCTCCATACACTTTGGTGTATTTTACTGCCACCCACCTCAGTCAAACTAACATCCAGCGATGTAGAAACCTGTTACGAAGACTCGACTTTTAGCGTACTGAACAATTAAAGGAAAAAAAATTCCAGTTTCACTAAGTGTTGTCGTTGGCATCGTCGTGTACATTGTTAAAACACCCCATTAGTCTTTCGAAAAACAACTTCGTCACTAAATTTTTGAACGATTTACTTAACTATTAATCTTGATGCTTGTCTGAATAATCTCGGCCTCCGTAGATGAAAATGATCGAAGATGCCTGTTTATGACTAATAAACAATCGATGTAAATAGCCGGAGGGGGATCTCCGGTATGAAAAAGTAGGGGATTCTCTTCGTCGCATTTTGTTATGAACACCCTAAGTCAGCCCAGAGTTCTTGATTTTTCCCCTAAGCGAGACGAATAGCATCCCCGACCTTTTCATATGGGAGTCCACCCACCCCTCCAACCCCCGGGTGTAAATATTCATATAACCTAGCAGCTACGAAATAAAAATAAAATATTGTAAATACGCAGACACACATTAGCCTGCACGCGCATTGGAGACGACCGGCAAAGCTAAAGCTTCGAAGATGTGTAAAGGAGAGTTTCGTCTGAGAAACGTTACGTTTTGGTATTCCGTTCGCCGTGATTTTACCGACTCTAGGGTAAGTCACGCTATAAATGTATGTTTAATTTAGGGTGTGTAAAACGGGTGTGATTAGGCGAGGCGGTAAAGACAGTATGGTGATGGTAGGGGACTACGACTTTGGTAGAAAAACACCATCTTTATTAAAAATATCGCATTTTACTTTTGTTTTCAATTTCCTAATCAGCCTGTTGATAGATTTCTAGATGTTGGCTTCTTTTAACGAAGTTAACGTGACTTACGGCTATTGCAACTGCCGCTAATTGGCTTTAGACTAAAAATGGTTCGAAAAATCACATTGTTGTATACTGTGGTTTGGGCAGTTTCTAATTGCTAATCAGAAGAAGAGAATTCTTCAAATTAAACCTACAATAGAAATGAAGAAAATACCCAGAGAAAAACATTTTGTGAAACAAAAGTCTGCTTACGTGTCCTTGATCACTTATTATGCACCACAAGTATTTAATTTTAATCAAGTTATATATATCGCTAGTGGAAGATAAATTCCTAACTAGTATATGCACGCGCACTTTACTTGCACCTAGTTCTGGAAAGATTTCCACTCAAAAAAATTGCGTGTTGGCTTTACACAGAAGCATATCACCTCGAACGAGGTGATATGCTTCTGCTTTACAACATTATCCATGCAAATTTTTGCAACGGGTTTCTACACTGAATTCCCGATGCGAGTGCATATGTTATCAAACTTTATGACAGCCGTCGAGTATTACTATACAAATTGTGACAATGAGTGACTAATTAATATTCACGATAGGCACGTTATTGCAAAAACGCAGTAGCTGTTCTTGAAAATCACAGCAGCAATCATAATTTACGATATCGCTCTTTGTCAAAGATATATTGCAGTTCACGACGTTAATACGGCTCACAACAGGAAATGTATACTACGGCCCAAGGCAATATCGGTTCTCCTATTTTCATCTTGAGCAACTGATATCTTTGCAGTTCAACAAGTTATCTTTTTGCTCAAGCGAAGGTTGATGACTTTCAAAAAATCGTGTACAAAACATTTATTTTTGCATAAGCTAAGGCCTGAGCATTGTACGTTCTTTTCTGCTTCAGTGGCTGTCTCTACCGGTTTTTGTGGTGTATCGCTTGGCTGTAACTGCTTACAACCTTGCATGGCTGTTTTACAACATCCACTTGTACGGAGCGAAAATGTTCATCTACTTAACTAACTGGACTTACACTATATTGAACATCTACTTTGTCTTTGCAACAACGCTCTCTTGTATCGCCCTTTATAAAGACCTGAGTAAGGAAACGGAGACCACAACTCTAGCTACAGATGAACAGACGGTGGAGATCGAAATGGAGCTTGGCAACTACGGCGCAGTTGATCAAGATAGCGAAGACGCCAGCGAAAAAGACGCCCTGCAGTGTCACCACAAGTTCTTTTGGTTCATCCATGTCATTGCTGCAACTGCCGGCTTGTGGGTAACCGCGGGGTACTGGAGCGTGTTGGCAGATGATAACCCAGTTGATGCCAATAATATTACAAAGCACGCACTCAATTCCGTCTTCATGGTGATTGACACAAGCCTGAGCGCCATCCCAGTTCGTCTCCTGCATTCCCTGTACGCCTTGCTTTACATTGTCATTTACCTCGTCTTCTCCATTATCTATTGGCTCCTTGATGGAACCAATAATCAAGGGAATACTTACATATATAAAAGTCTGGATTACGACAACTTCAAGCCCATCGTTGGAGGCCTGATTGTCGTTTTCCTTCTCGTGGTTTTGCCTGGTTTGCATCTGATCTTATTTGGCATCGCCAAGTTACGAGATCATCTTCACAGGAAGTATGAAGCACGAAGTCACACTACGTGAAATGACGTAATTAACGTGACGTGACATCAAATGGCATGACATCAGACGACATCACATGACATGAAACGATATGTTATAATATGACACAACACCACATGACATGACAGGAAATGACATGACATAACTTGACAAGGAATGACATGACAATACATGATTTGACATTACATCACTGCACCCAACCTAATAATGACATGACATTATACGAACTTATAGTGACATGACGTGACATGACCCGACCTACTAATGATTTGAAATGACATCACAAGACCTCACAGTGGCATGACACGACATAATCTAATAACGACGTGACATGACATTACACGACCTTAATTATAGTCACATGACGTGACCCAGCCTAATAATGATATGATATGATATTGTACGACCAAATAGTGACATGACATGACATGACAAGACCTTATAGCGACATGACATAACATGAACTTTCCTAATAATGACGTAACATGACATTACACGACCTTATAGTAACATGACATGACTTCACCGAAGCTAATAATGACATGACATAAAATGACATGACATGCCTAGACTTCAAAAACTTTCAAGGAAGGCTGAAATAAATATTTGTCAGGGCATGATAGAACACAGCTTGACTACTTGGTTATATAAGGTAGGGTAAATCGCATGGTAGTTATCGATGCGTGAGAATTAAACGAGTCATGTTAGGTCGATAAATTTTTATTCATTTAGTTTAGCAGAGTTTATGTGTGTTTACAGTGGCATGCCTGTAAACTAGCTAAGCTTAGTGCTTGTATACGCTAAGCGCACGGCCACTGTAAATAAGATTTACATTTTACATGTACATAGGCACTTCTTCCCTATGTAAAATCCGGTAGGAAGGTATTGTAACAATCTTAAGTATGTTGGGACATGGCCCGCGGTCCTTTAGAGCTGTTAAGAGAAATATTTTCCTCTATGTGAAAGTAATATTTTTGTAGTAACGGAAACTTTGAGGAGAGAGAAGGAATAATTTAACGTCCTTAAATTTCTTAAGGTCATGGTCTTAAGGCCATGTGTTAGTTAAGGAAAAATAGAAAGGTAATATGGGTCAAAAATGGTCAAAACTACTCTCCCTTAGTTCTAAAGAGCCGGTCTAGACAGATAGAACGGAACAATTCGTGATATCATGCTGGTGACAGAAGACTATAGAAATCAATTGCAAAAAAGGTTAGCAAGATGACGGGAGAAACGAATAAACTAAAGGATAGCAGGTTTTCTAGCGTGGCTGAGTGGTTTAGGGCGCTGGTGTTGTAATCCGGAGGTCCCGGGTTCAAGGCCTCCACCCTGCCACTAGCGGGATGCGTTTCTCGGTAGTCCCGAGTTCAAATCCTCGGTCACGCTTTGTAAATAGCCAACTGGTCTGCCTCCTGCCAGTTGGGATTTTTAACTACGTTACGTTTATTTGAAATGTTTGTTTCCTTTGTTTCAGTGGTATGCCTGAAAATTAGCTAAGCTTAGTATTTTTATAGCTAAGTGCATGACCACTACCACTATTGAGCGGAACTCTAAGTGTACTAGCGAAGAACTTGTTTATGTAAAGGGAGATGTGTTTATTTGCATCCATCCACAGCATTTGAGTTTCAGTGAACAGATAAGATTACAGATTCTTGAGCGAAGTACACAACACAATGATGATTTTAGAACAAGCTAAGAGAGAACTGCAAAAACACGAAACAAACGCGAGTGTTTTCTATATTCTCGGGAATTCTCAAATAAACAGAGTGTCATTGCGTACAAGCAGAGGTATCAGGATAAAAATATATTCTGAAGTGGACTCTCAGTGGCCTTATCTTTGAATTAAAACCAGTAAGGTGAAAAAATGTAGTTTGCTGATTCTTTGACGCTTTAGTAAATTCAAGCAATGTAAGACCAGCTAACTCAGTCATAAGTTGAGTTTTTCGTGAAGAAAAACTACGCGGCTATCCTTATGGGTCCTTACAGCTCGACCCTAAGATTACAAAGACGCTTATATAACAGAACTCAGTTATTGCATTTTGAGTTATTTCAGCTACGTACAAAATCATCTTTAAATTGAAGGAAAACTGAAAATAGTGGGGTACAAAGATAAAAAACACCAAAGAGATGATAATGAACCATGAAGGAACAAGGATGATTAAGGATGGAGAAGATTGACACGGATTGCAAGCCGACAAACTTGAAAATTTAGGCTAAACTTTTCAAGATGCGTAAAGAATCATCGTAGAAATTTCACTTTGACGCAGCAGTCACTGATCAATTAACAAACTGACGTCAATTTGTTTTTTACAATAACAAGACCCCAAAATGGTCAAATGCCGGGAATAAATGAGGGGAAAAGACGCCGTAAACTTTCTGTAAACAAAGATAAGTGAATTTTATTTAAAATGAGGCGAACGTTGTCAATAGCTTTTCTCGCTTTTTGATTGGCTACTTAAAAAAGTCCATACAATCTTATTGGTTAAAAAGTTGACAGTTTGACAGCTGAAAGTTGAATTTGAAAGCTTGCATGAATTAAAATTTTATCTGTCTGTACTCTCATTGATGGTTAAAATGGGCCAATCAGCGCGGGAGAAATTAGGCAGTTATTGTAAAATATGTTATAGCTTGTACACAGCCGTCCGGTTGAAGAGAGTGGGTGGCTTTTGCGTGGATGTCTGAGATCCTAGACAAACGTATAGCTTGGATACTTGAGCTGGATCACGTATTCCCCATTCTCCCTAATTAATGCTGGAAAATGTCGCTCTTTTCACCTGAAAACTGTTCCATGACGAACTGTTTCACTAAAAAAAGCCACCAAAAACTAGTCGGGTTGGCCATAAACGTTATCTGCAATGTTTGCACGTGAAGTTTAGTTGTGAAAGTTTAGCCGTGAAGTTTACCCACAAACCTACGCCATAATATGGAAAAAAAAAACCTATATAACCTCGTGAAAGAAGAAAACCAAAACACGGTAACGGTTGACCTGCTAACACAAACAACTTTTAATCGGCCATTTCCGAGTTGCCTTGTGCCTCTGTTTCAAAACGAGCCCTTGTGCGAAACCATTTAATATTAAAATGTGTTCCCCTACAGTTTCATTTTCATGCAAATCAAACTCATTTTCACATGAAAGGTTTTACACGAAGACTCGTTTTGAAACAAAGGCACAGGGGAACTCGAAAATGGTCTATTATTTACCCGTTTAAAGGCATTTAAGGTGGCTGAACACAGTTTTTGATACCCGTGTTTCATTCACCTTTTTCTCTAAAACCCTTGATCCCTCGGTCGACAAAAATGGCAGCAAGCAAATTAACAACACAAACTTTGGTTTTTTGATGGTTAAGCTGACGTATGTGCCGTTGCCATGGCAACATGAATAAATATAAACAGGCTTTTAAAATCGGTTTTGTTTATTTGTAGAAAATCTATTCATTAGATTTTTTTTATAATTTGCATGTAACAAGCTTGTAACGATTCTCACAAGTTAACATCATTTTGCTAATAATTTAACAGAGATCTTTAATTATCCCTTGTTTAAGGTTCACTGGAATATCTAGAATTTCCTTTGTTAAAGTTCGATTATTTTCAATACTCCAGTTACTTATTTCCTTAAGTATTTTCGTGCCAAATTTCGTGAAATTCTGATGAGTGGTTCTCGAGAAATAGGCGCATTTTCGAGAGTGCAATTTTTCATTCAATCGCAATTTTTTGACTTACTACGCATGCGCTGCATTTAACTGGGTTCTTTCGGTAACAAAGAAAAAGCTGAGAATTGCTCGGTTCTTTGCATCGTTACCTTTTCTAACATATCTTTGTTAATAAAAGACTAAAGCCATCAATACACTGCGTTCGATTATAGAGGCGAGCACAGTCCCTCTTCTGGAAAGGGGAGCGAGGCACTGGAACACAGACCCGTCGGTATACATCACCTCATATCCAACGCGCGCGCGTGGAGTAATTGATCATTATTTTGAAACCAATGACGGAGACGGTTATTTCATAATGAGCGAGTCTCTCGTTTATTTTCAAAGACCTATTCACAAGTAGACCGCCAGCAGTCTCTCTCCTGCTCGAAAATCTGTGGGAAAGAACGCAAAGAACAACGCAACACAAGTGAGCAGTCGTGAGCATGCCAGCATGATATGGAAAGCCGCGAGTTCCGACGCCCGCACTATTCGCAGCTCGCAGCATCGCCGCTCGCAGGTCACGCTCACACGCTCCCTTGTTTTGCGTTCTTTCCCACGGATTTTATGGAAAAGAGAGACTGCTCGCTGTTTAATTCACAACAATAGTGAAGACAGATCGAGAGACCCATTGACACACTGGGGTTCGAGGACCTAAATAGCAAAGTATATACACTCTTTGCCAAGCCAAGAACCCTGAAACACATATATCAAATGTGGAAAAGGAACAAAATACATCCTTTGTGATTAGTTCAATTGGGATTTTGAATGTCCAGGTATTTTTCATCGTGTTACTTGTTGCAGGGATATACAATTGCCGACATGGGAGAGACTGGAGATAGCTTTGTATCTCCACTACAATTTGGCACTCACGGTCACGGTCTTGTACCCAGGTTCTTCGGGCAGCAGAAGCTCTTGAGAATATTTCAGGCTCTTGTTATCCAATCAAATATGGCGCAAAGACTCGTGAGCAATCAAAATTCGCTTTGTAAATTACTCCTCCTGAAACTGCGGGTTCATTCGTATTTGCTGATCGAAAGAGGTAGTTTCTATCGATCATTGCGTCATCACTGGTCGTACCAGCGACAACTGCCTGTTAACCAGGAAATTAATGAAATGTCCTGTGACGAAAATATAAATAAAATCACATCACAACACGTGCTCTATGTGTAAAATCGTTGACAAATGAACGTCAACTTCGTCTTAGTGGACGACACCAAGGCAGCTCGACGTGCAAACGAGGCTACTCCTGAGGCCCAGGCCTTCACGTGCTTCATGAGAGGAGGGGTGCTGTCGACTGGACAGAAAAGGCGCTATTTCCAGACAGGCTTGTTACTGCGACTAGTCGCTGAACTGGCGGCAGTGGATGCTCTGCTCGCCGACGAGACTCCTGATCGACTGGACATCCGGGAACTTTGACGACCTGTGAAGGAACAACAATATATCAGCGATTAGCATAAATCTACTACCGTTCTATCACGAATGCCGTTCTCTTATTGGCTCCGCCACTCACTATCTGTTCAGTTGCAGATAGTGAATAGCCTAGCAGTGTGCAGTTGTTAACCGGAAATGGCGACCGCTTCTTTGCGTTTTGGAAGTGTCTGAGAAGAGGATGAAGATAAAGTTGTGAACGACTAGTAGATTTAGAATAAAACAATTAGATTATTCGGTCTCGATTTCCATGCGCGATAGAGATCTCGAGCTCATAATGTAATTCTTTGAAGTCTCGAGTTCCAAATCTAATTGTTAATAAGTAACAGTAATGCGCTCTACTCCAGAACCACTGCGACTAACCGGAGATACGAAAACCTAACACAACTGGGGGGGGGGGGGGGGGNGGGGACGCGCTTTAACACTAAATTATCGTTTACAAGCGCAGCATAACAAGCCCGACAGAGTTTGCACTTGATCTCTCCACCAAGAGGGGTTCAACCATGAGACAATCTTGTTCCCAGTGTTTCTCTTCTTCCAGGGAAGGGAGACCCTGGGAACGGAATTGACCACAACTTACTCGACTTGTCTTGACTTAAAAGTTCATCGTCGAGTTTTTCTTGAAGCGCCATCAGATCTGAAGACATGTCAAGGGAAAAATCTTATCTGGACTTCTGTGATCAACTATTCACAGGCCCCACATGTGTAGTACAGTTGGTGGATGATATATGACAAAGACGTTTTTTAGCAATATAACCGCTAACATGACATCTGAGAGCTCTTACAATATCTGGCGGGTCTAAAACACTGGTCACGGGTCATTGTTTTACCAATACTGGAACAACCTTAAACCTTTACTAATACTAACCTTAAGCCCAAACATTGTCTTAGTGTAGTACTTAGGCCGAAGGTTAGCATTAGGAAGGGGTTAGGGTTGTTCCAGTATTTGTAAAACAATGACCCGTGACCTGTGTTTTAGACCCTATAATATCGCCTGAGAAAATCTCGTCGCGGCCTGCACCGTTCAACAGGTTCTCTATAATTCGGCAAACGAAACTAGAGGGGAAAAAACGCAAGCAATGTCCCTAACCCTTAGAACAAAAGAGGTTCATATTAAGAAGAAACTGTCTCCTACTGTGTAGTTTAAGGTGAGAGTAAGTTTAACTTGGGAGCCTTGAACGAGAATATACATGTACTGTCGTTGGTGACTCTGGACTTTCGCCAACCTGAGGGGAGGTCATGGTCAAGGTCAAGTAAAATGTTTTTCAAGTCTCTGGTGCTTGAAACTAATTGATCTGTTATTGTCAATTTCGATCCATCTACTGTCAGTCAATTTTTTTGTTGGTTTTGTTAGAAGTCACATTTCGCATCTCGCATAAAACTGTTGACGTCTTGTATGCATGTTGTACCAGGTCTCCACCACGCGCGGTTTGTGACCCAACCGGAAGTGAACTTTCACGATTTTGGACGGCTAAAGCGCGGAGAATAGGAAGCTATATCCATTTTTTTCCGACTTTCACATCAGGATCCCACGAAGATTCCATCAAGCAAATAAAAAATACATGTCTGCCATATAATAACTTTAAGTCATCGATATAGCGCAGGACTGGTTTGCAGGTATCGACTGAAAAGTGTTTGTTCTACGTTAGTGTACCAGCTTTCACGACTCCGACTTTGAAAGTAATTTGTACTGTAGGTAAAGCATTCAGCAGAGTTCCCATTTTATCTCTGGTTTGCACGTCAGTCTACGGTGTGAATACTAATAATAAGGCAATGTGATAATTGATATCAACATTTAAGTAATTAAAGACAACGAAAGGATACCCTCTGGAAAGAACCATTTTCGTTCAGCAGCGGATGTTGGCGGCCTGGGTCGATTTGCACTGCTAGCTTTCCCCGATGACTTTCTTGAGGGGGGAGGGGTGGGCCAGCAGGATTGCGGTACTTGACCTGTAAGTAAGCCTTCAGGGAACTTCTTGTACAGCACTTTGAGACCTGCAAAATATTATTGTCAATACATTGGTCGGTTATGAGTTTCAGAAGCCTTCCTTCGCTAAAGATCCTCAAGAGTTGACACCAAAGTGTTTCTCATTGGTGGTTGCTAGGTGACGAATTTTCGCGCGTAAGTATCAACCAATAATAAACACTACACAGATCTCTGCAGAGTTACGTCATCAACAGAATTTTTCGGATCGATTCTTAGAGCGCTTTATATTTAACCAAATATCTAGAACTTTCGAAATAGACGCAAATGGCATGGAAATTTTCTTCGAAAGTTTGTGGGAAATGCGAAATTTACTGAATTTCGGAAATGCGAGCCATTCAACCAAATATTTCGGAAATGCCGTAAAGAAAATCAAATGGAACGGAAATTCCCGGTACAAAATTTTCGAAAATTTAGTACAAGATAAGATTACTTGGGGGCTTTCCGTTCAACCCAAGATTCCAGAACTTTCGAAACGAGGTCAAATGGTAGGGACAGTTACTTTGAAAGTTTCCAGAAAATCTGAAAACTATTGAATTTCCGATTGTGAACCATTCAACCGAAAAGTGCGGGAAGAAAATTGAAAGGAATGGAAATTTCCAGTAAGAAATTTGTGAACATTTCGAATATACCTCGTGAGGTTGTCCTCTTTTCTGGAAAGTCCAGAAAATACTGTTCTTAGACTTTTCGCTGCTAAAAACTTCTCCAATTTTAAACTGGAATTTCTTTGTCGAATGGACAGCGCCATTAGACTTCCCCAGAGCTGCGAAAGTATTGAGCGCAAGAAGACCAATTTTTCTCAAACTCATTAATAATTCATCAAGTTAAAAAAAAGAAAATCACAACCGCGAAGGAGGCTTGGATACCAGGTCTTAATTAGCATAGATTTTGACGATCTTACTTCTCCGTTTACTCCTTAGTTTTTGTTTCGATTGAGAAGATATATCAAACACGAGAGACAGTGTTTCATCGGCTATCCAAACACCTCGAATTTTGTCAAAAATACTCCGCTCCGCGTCGTATCTTCAGCTCTCTTCTCGGTGTTTGGATATATTACGTGTATTCTCGTGTTTGCTATATTACATCAAGGATAGAAATGTCAAAGGCGCTTAGTCACGGTATTTTGAGTTATTTTGGCCACATACAAAATAACCTTTAAATGGTAGGAAACCTGAAAATAACAGTTTAATAAGATAGAAAAACACCAAAGAGATAATGATAAACCATAAAGGAACAAGGATGGCTACGGATGGAGAAGATTAACACGGATTACAAACGACGAATTTGAAAAATTGAGGCTAAACTTTTCAACATGCGCAAACCGTGACTGAGCTCATTTAATCGCACCTGACAAAGATACAAAATGCTCGTCTCACCTCCGGACAGCATGAAAACATTGTCTACTTCTCTCTGCACAAATGTTGTCGCTGCGGCTGGCGCTAATCTCTCATCCTCATCATAAAGAATAATTATCTTTCCTAGTTTATTTTTCTGTTGAGTTTTTTTTAAATGTTAAGAATCATACAGTAAAGTAACAGAGGTTACATCTACAGCACATTTTCAGGGTGAGCATATTAGCGTTTTAAACAACTGGAAATTCTAGCATAAGAAAGGAACTCACTTTCCATAGGAAACTTAAGGCTCCATCCACACTACGCCGGAGAAATTTGAAAACGGCGTATTCACTGAAAACGCATCAAATGTTTTCCGACCATACTACGCTGGAGAAATTTAAAAACGCAACAATCACCGGTCACTATGGATTTGTGTTTGAGGAAAACTCGAGCAGGGAAATCACACAGTCATTATCGAAAAGCTCCGTTTTCGAAATGTTTTCCGTTCACGCTAAAACGCAAAGCCGGTTTTTTCAAATTCCTCCGGTTCGAAGAACGTTTTCGAAAAGCTCCATTTTCGTGACGGATTAGTGTGGACGGTAGGTCTAACCGTAGTAATAAAGCTACTCCCAGAAAAAGTGGGTGGGGCCCACATGCAGCAAGCTATTTGCAACCTTTACCTTGTTTCAGACTTAAAGTTGTGATTTTCCTGACCCTATTCAGACCCGACCTAAAATTGGATGCTCTTCTTCAAACTTGACTTAATAAATCAATAAGTTAGAACTGCCATCAGTTCCCTAATCCAGACCAATGTTAAAGGGAATGTTGAGTTTTTTTTTTACTTTTTATGTAGGCTGCAAAACTGCACAATGTATGACGTTGACGATCTCAACTGTAATGATAATTAAAGATGTTATATGTAGCTTCTTCTAAGAACTCTACCCAGCCAGAGTGTGCAAATTATAACCAATTTCAAACCAAAATGCCTCAAAATCCACTGCCTGCCCCCTTTCCAGGCCAATCCCACACCAGAAACAAAATGCATTCACTGTGGAGTGTTAGGCATACATGTATTAGGATACAAATGTGAGAATTTCCTTGGTAAAATAGTTGTATGATCTTGTCAGCATTGCTGTTGGATAACTAAGTGCTGCAAATTAAATTTTAAGGACAGTCAATATTGACAAATAGAATTGTTTTTACTTCTTGAAACCAGGTTTGTTTCAAATCTAGGAATTGTTAAGAGTATTTATTTAGTAGGTTTAAGAATGAGCTCTGTAAGATGGACACATTAGAGAGCAGTTCAAGCTGTCTGCTTAGAAAAGGTGTCCACTTAAGTTCACCAACCAAAGGCTTGCACCATTTCTCCCTGGACACTTAGTCCACTACTGGTACCCCTTCCAGCATTTTTGCCAGTTAGCGTAACCATTTAAGGTGGCTTACTACATATTTGATGGTATATAACAGCCCAACTTCTAACTCTTTTGGAAAATGTTCCAAGATGTTTTTCCTTTCTCTATTTACTGTTTGCTTAAATCTTTTACCATTCTTTGTGAAACTTGAACAATTTAAATGTCAACAGATGGCCTAAATGGATGGCCAAATTCCTAAGTAGAGACTAGCTAGTACTGGGCACTAGTAGGTTAAATGACCTTTTTCTCAAGATCTACACGTATGTCTCCACCTCAAAATTTCAGGAATAAGAAGTAGGCTCTAATTTAACATTCATGCAAAGTAAAATAAAAGTCTGTAAGACAGATTCTTCGCAAACCAAGAAAATATGACATCAAAAATAGCTCAAAATTTGTCTTACACATTTTTTTTTACGTTAATTTTTGCCTCACAATCTGAAAAGTCCAATTATTACTCTCCGTGCTGGTAAGATGATGTTTCACACTTCCTAAACCCTAGGTATATTAGTGGTAGATAAAGAGGTGCTCCAAAAAGATAGGGGAGGAGGGCAGATAAAAGATTGGCCCTTTTGCCCAAGAGAAAAAAAAACGGGGGAGGGGGGGATGTAATATTTTGGCCTTTCAGAGCACACAACTTTTCGCATAAGGGGAAGGGCTGAGCAAATAAGCCTCTGCCATTGATCCTTCACATTTGTAGTAATATATTATGTTGTGATTAAGTGAAACTTTTAATCTGGTGATAAAGATTGTTGTTGTTGTTCTACTCCAAGTAAGACCACCACCTAAGGAGTACATTCAAGTACTCACCTCCTATGATATGACACTGTCGGTATGCATCCTCGTCCCTGACATCTAGCAGAAGGTAAGGTAGTGACTCAACTTCAGGAACCAAAGACTGCTCTTCCTCATAGCTGGTGTCTTTGCCATCTTTTTCATCTTTGTCTCGGATATCAACCTCTCCAACACCATGTATTAGGCTGAAGAGAAATGCAATTCGCTGTAATTATTTCAAACTCCACTAAAACTAACAGTTACTGTATCATAGGACAACACACTAGGCAAGCAATGCATGCACAGAGCTTTGTACTGTCTAGTAGCTCTTTACATTCATTTCAGGCTGGTGATGCTGGCCTAGGACCTCTACTGAGTGTCCCAAATCTAAGTTTCGGCCACTATGAAGAGTGTCCAAAAGTAAACAAATTTTGTGGTTTGGTAAGAAAGGTAATAAGTTTGCATGTAAGCAGAGTGGCCCATCAGGCCTGCGCTTATCTCCCAATTCCGTAATTGAATCATGTTAGATTTTCCTACTCCCCCTTCATTTGAGTATCATATAAATTTTACCTTTCTAGTGTGGAACGTGCGGTACTTCTTGCAGTTGAATCTGGCCGCGCCTCGTCATCTTCTAGATTCAGGGGTGGCACTCCCTCCCCCTCTGCAGAGGTCTCTTTGTCTTCAGCTGTGATTGTTTCATCTGACATCACACTTTCACCTTTTATACAAGAACAAAGTAATACATTACACAATAAATAAATTACAATATTTAAAGAGGAAGCCCCATCAGCCTTAGCTGGTTTCCATGCGGGTCCTCTATCCTGGTCGAATTGGAATTTGGAAATGTTGGTTTTTGTGAAAGGAGGGAATCCGAAGAACCTGGCAAAAAAACCCCAAGAGCATCATGTATGTTAGCCTTGTGCACATAATTTTTCACCTCAGATGGACAAGAAAATACCTGGGAGATTTAGCAGTTTTCACTGTCACAGACACATGCTAAGTGCCTCACATTTTTTTAGGTTTGATCACCAGCTTTGCCGAGAAAATGAGCACCTGACTTAATCTTACTGGTATTGAAAATAAAGACCACGCTTGATGACTATCCTCTGGGGCTCAAATAGACAGAGTGTGGTTGCTAAAAGAATATTATTAAATAACTTAATAATTCTTAACTAAGGTATCAAGCTCTTAGCATGCCTACAAGGCATTAGGGTTACCAGTGAGTAGACAACTTTCTGCAAGATCATCTTAGGCAGTCCTTAAGCCTTAAGCCTCCTGAGCTTAGAGGGCTGATCTTGAGACAACATGCATTCCAGAGACCCGAACAACATACTGTTCAGTACGAGGAGGAATGGTGATGATGACCAACTATGTAAGACAAAATGATTGTGGAAATTATAAATTAACAAGCAAAAGACGCTGATAGTACAAACCTCCAGCAGTTGACATACTATTTCTTTCTTGTTCCAAACTAACAGCCTCAGCAACTTGAAGGACCTGAACAAAAAATGTCAGACTCATTTAATAATTAATAATGAAAAAGAAAAAGAAAATTAATGTTTAATGATAAAGATACAATTTAAAAAACAAAAGAAAATTTTTCTGAGATAAAATGTTGCTTGGTAACATACCAGTTGGACTAAAGTGGTAACCTTCATTCTCTTGAAGATCTCATCTTTCTTGTATTTGTAATCTGTGAGACATGGCACAATAGTAATCATTATTTGATAGCTGTTAAAATGATCATATTTTTTTTCTACAATATCCATATTGGGCTAATCAGATTTAAATACTAATGTGCAGCTCTGAAATCTTGAATGCTAATCCCAAAACTTTAGACTGAACCCTGACACCACAAAACTCTGAAACTAACCTACATTAAGGTTACACGTGAGTCACACTAAATGTAACAAAAGCCTACCTACATGTGCCAAATATTTCCAGAAAGTTCCAGTGTCTCAGTAGATAATTAGGTGGTCCAGGGTCGAGCCCTGACTGGGATCATTGTTGCATTGTGTTCCTAGGTATTAAATTAATGTACACAATTGTACTCTCACCATGTCTCTACCCACCCCAGGATGGGTGGTACACTATATAATAGGTATCTGAAGTTCCCGAGGTCAAGATTTTGACTCAGGTCTATAAAGGTACAAGCAAATTTAATGCTGCAGAGTAGCCTCAATTTGCTTAATGCTACAGAAACGTTGATATGCCCTGGCTGCAGTATGGAATACTTAGCCTGAAGCAGACCTGCCCACCTAATAACCTAAAGTCACACATGTATATGGACAGTATTCTTAGGCCCAGTTTTGATGCTGAACTTTTCATGAGTAAACCTAATATGTTGAATTAAGTACATGTATGTGAAAAGTTTAGTGTCTGAATCAGTTAAGAACGGCTACTCGAAGTTGGAATGGCTCAGCCTTTCATCCCACCTAGCTTAGCTTGAAATTTTGGCCTTGGAACGACTTCGATTCAGACATTGACCTTTTCATGCTGACATTGGTCGATTGGTTAAATCTAAATTAAGTTTGGTGAAGTAAGTTCAACATCTGCATCAACAGGCATACTTTTGATAATTTGGGTCCGTCCAAATTAAAATTAAGTTCAGCTCATGAAAAGTTTGCTGTCTGAACTGGGCCTTATATACAAGTTGTATAATTCAGCCAGAGATCACATTGAGATTTCTTGATCACTGCAAGTTTGTTACTTTGTAAAAGCACATCTATGTTATACAAGCACTTAACAAAAATGAAGTATGCATAGAAACAAGTACTAAACGCTTAACTTGTAGGTCGCAGTTTAATTCAATTCCATTCAAGAACACTAAAGCACTTGAAATTAACTTAACTGCAATTTATGACACAACTTGACGTGGTTTGTAGTTGACTTGCCCGAAATGTGAATATGAATATTAAAAATTCAATGAAAACAACCAGGGAACTAAGTAACTAGCCATTAAACATAAATATAGCTTACTTTAATATTGTAAGCTTATATTTTATTTGTAGTCGTTGATCGGATTATAGAAACTTACTTTTCCGCATTTCTTCGATTTTCTGCGTATATCTAGAAACACTAGCTCCTGCAGATAGATTTTAAGGCAAAAATTGTTAACTCTGAAAGGTTGTTAGTCCTGTATTACAAAAATTGGATTTTCATTATCGAGAAAAAAAACGTTGACATTCCGATCTTTCACGTACCAGTATCGACGGTTGCAGCAATGTGTTCATATTTCGGATTTTTGTGGATTTTCTTGTCCAAAATCTGCCCAGGAATAAAAGAAATCGTTACTCTGTCAGCTACACATGCAAATCGGAAATGGATCAAACCAGCTTTGCGTTTACAAATGTAAAACTCAGCTTACATTTGTGGGTTTTTTCGCTGATCTACTTGTGGCAGACATCTTGTCGATTTCCACCGTCGCCAAGTACGCGGTTACTAAGTCGTTTCATCAACTGTCATGGGAGGGGATGATGGATCACGTTTCTTGCACACAGTCTGATCTTCGGTTGCAGTGTGCGGTCAGGCTCCGCTAAAATGGCGATCTCCATTCAACTTGTATGCGCCGTTGGTGTGGTTGCAATAGCTACGTTTATCAATTTACCAGCACCACGTTTCTCTAAAAGGCTAGAAGAGTGGAGAAACATGGGGCAGTATTTTAATTATAAGGGAAACGCGATTTTTTATCAAGGTGAGGTTCAATGATGATACAAGTAGCTGGTCGTAGTTTTGATACTGGCGCGAATATCTCGATCGTGTTTTTGCGACAGACTTACAAGCGATTAAATGATCTGCGCTTTTGTCGAAGAAAAATACTATCTGTAACACGTTTACATAAAATCAAAGTCAACTTTATTTCAGAATTTTGCATGACAAGGCTTTTTCAAGGACCTCTTTGAAATCCTTGGAATAAAGGGGTCTTTGTTGACTTACAAGTCAGGGTCATGTCCTAACTTCAGCTGTGCTCGATTTCTGAAGAATGAAATTATTTGCAGATTTTAGAGGTTTTAAAGAAGACGATGGCATTGTAGTTCTCTGTATCCATGGATTTCCAACAAGTAATTATGACTGGTCAAAGGTATTTAAGCTTACATGTACACTGTACATCATTAGCTATGTTAGAGCGGTTTTCAGTTGAGTATCTCAAAACCAGAACCACAGCAATCACTCTGACCAGTCACAAAGGACACAGACAATACAGTGAACCAATCAAAACTCAAAGTAATAACACGTAGCTGACGTGAAGTGCAAGAAAACGTGTGAACGGGTCATGATTGATTTGGTTTTACTTCTGATTGGTTGAAAAAGTGGCGTGAATTTTTTAAGCTAATTGTGTAGCGCAGCAATGCAAAAACAATCACTTTTCAACACTCAAATGAAAACCACTCTATTAGTTAATCTTTGATTGGTTGGAATTATTTTGGTTTGAATGAGGTGCCACATTTCTAATGCATCGCTGCATTTTGCTGGGTAAAGAATGGCATATTTGACTATAGTAGAAAATAGAAGTCCTTGTTAATTATACCAGGCTAATTTATGCAAGAAATATTCACTAACAGATATGGAATGAACTTGAAAGTGTAAAAATTGTAAACCCAAGTCTACAACTCAGGTTTTCATAAACTTTCAAAGTCTTGCAAATCTACTCTTACGGTTGCATCTAGCTACATACATCAGAAGACGGGCATACTCATGCATGTAGATAATGTCCATATCCAACCAAGGAGGGTTACTAGAAATTCCAAGAGGGTGAGGGTCTCAAAAACCAAACTTGGTAAATGAAAGTTTGTAACTAAACTGGAATTCCAGAAAGAGGGGGTGGGGGAGCAGTGTATATCTTCAGGAACACAATACAGACAGGAAGGTATGCAAATAATTTTTTTT